GGGTGAACTACGTGAGGCTTGATTCCTTAGGCAAGAGGATACATATGCAGTCTTATTGATGCAGCCGGTTGGATTAGTTGGCTTTGATGGGGGAGATTGTTTGGACTCTCGTTCGAGTTCTTGAACTGTTGTGGATTGAGTTCGTTGTCGTGGATTTATTCTACTTCGTACTGGACGCAACAAGTGGGACATTTGGTTGCTTTGATATCAGCTCAGTTTTTGAAAAACTTCGCCGAGGTGGAGAATTGTTGGGAGGCGCTTGTGGGGGCCATGAATTTTGGCGTGGTTGAAGTGAACGTGAGGACCCATGTTGTGAAAGTGGCATGTGAACAACACTTTGTTTCTCGCAATGACTTCAGCGGGCTAAGATGTCCACCCGAAAATTCGTGCTTATAAATACATGCGTTATTCCTAGGGTTCGGTGTGCGAGCAGGGGCGAAAAAAGCGGCGTAGAAGGGAAAACAATAGAGATTTTTTCGGTTGTTCTTGGTGAAGAAAAAGCGCCAACTAATTAAAACTTGTCTCCAAAGCGAACCAAAATCCAACTTCAACGCTACATCTCTAGTCTATGGTTTTATTTAAAACTTGTACGCTAGGGTATGCCCGTGGTTAAGCTATGTATATGATCTTTTTTAAAAAAATAAAATTATGGTGTTCTCTTGCCTTATGAATTTACTTTTATTTTGATGACATTTATTGGACTCTTAGTCAAAAGGTCCTTTCTCTAGAAAGGGTAATTAACAATTAATTCTTGAGTCCATTGGAAATCATGAACCCACATAAAAAATTAAAACCCTCTCCCATAGGGTGAATTTGACGAGATCGATATACAAGACAAAGTTATCTATCTTAATTGGATGTGTTAATCTGCAACTGGTGTAAGATAAACAATTTTGACCTCACAATCAAACTCTGTCTCGATTATATATGGAGAGATAGACTTGGATGATTGGATTTGGAGTCAACTACAACGAAGTTACTATAAAGGATGCTATTAATTTTTGGCTAAACTTAAAAGGGTTTTTCTATAGAGTGCCCAAGGGCACTCTATAAGACATGAGAGAGATAGAGAGAGGTGAATAGTAAAGGGGTCCACTGTTTGCATTTATTTTCGTTCCCACTATTCACCTCTCTCTATCTCTCTCTTCTCCTATAGAGTGCCCAAGGGCACTCTATAGAAAAACCCAAACTTAAAATATCATATTGTTTCCCAAAAAACACTTACATACTACGAGTTTCAAAATGGAGCAAAAATATACCCTAAGTAGTAAAAAAGTACAACTTGCTACCTTTTGTCAAACAACCATGAGAATATTCACAAAATATTCCTATGTGGTGCACTTGTGACTAAATTTAAGTGCAAATTACCCTCAGTTATTAATTACAACTCTACCTACTCATTTCTACTTATTAAATACAATTCAGCCTCTTCTTCTTCATCTTCTTCAATTTCAAGCTTTACAATCTCAAATTGGGATGCATAGTTGTTTTTTACAAAGTCCATTTGTTTTATGTTTGTATTATACAATAAAAGAAGTCTAGAGCAAGTTTGTCATATTTGTACATGTATTTGTTCACTTCCATCATCAAAATCAAATCTTGTACTCAAAATCTATAAGTTAGGGCATTGTCATTGCTTTGGGAGAGAGAAATTAGGGATCTTACAATAAACAATAACAATTGAGGGTTTTTCAGTGTGGGCGGTGTTTTTTACTAACAGTGGCATTTTCGTCTTTTAACAAATTCACACGGCAAACAACTCGGAGCATATTTTTGCTTCATTTTGAAACTTAGGGTATATAAGTGTTTTTTTGGGAAACAATAGGGTATTGAAGTGCAATTTAGCCTTAATTTTTTATGCACTGAACTTGTGTGTATGACTCTATTTTCAAGCTTACATAAAATGTCTTTGATATCGCACTACTAAGGAGTAAAGATCATGTATATCTTTGTTTCTGATATCAAATTGAGTTTCCAGAGAATGAAACTTATTATAATTACTGTTGCTTTTCAGTCTCGCAAATTTCTGTACCCGTCCTCCCTTTGGTCAACATGCTATCCAATTTCTGCTGTGCGATTCAACACTACATTGTCATTACTTTCATTATAAAGTGTTTGGTTGAAGCAAATCATTCAAAAAGCCTAAATAAGTTCAAGAAATTTTATGTTAATAGGGAAGCTTTCAGACGATAACGTGTATGTTTCGTAGGGAGCTTTTATTGGTTTGTTTTACGTCTATAGGTAAACGGTAAAGCTTTGAAAATATGCACATGAATTTGGTCTTCTATATTCTTATATTATTGAAGAATATCACATGCATAGTTTTCTGAATTTTTTTTGCTTATATTGATGATCAGCTACTAATACAATTGTGCAGGCTTGTCTCACTACCACATAATTGATCTATTGCAGCGGTTAAGGCGCAACGGTTCTAACTGTTGCGTTAGATATCTATCGTAACGGTTTACAATGGCTAATACAACATTTAAATGAAAAATGTTGCCATAGGCCAAATAATTGTTCATGGGCTTAATATTTCTTCGTGGGTTTAGGAGTTGAGTTTGTAAAGCCCGTCTGACCGCAACCAAACCTCTCTCTCTCTCTCTCTCTCTCTCTCTCTCTCTCTCTCTCTCAAATGAAATCCCTAAAATCGCTAAAATCGTCTCCAAAATTTTCCGATCCCTAAAATCGTTGTGGCCAAGATCTCGTCGCTGTTTTCGCATCGGATCTCATCTCCAAGCTCCTCTCCGATCTCTCCGATCTCGTCGCCGTTGGTTTCGTCGTCGAGCTAGTCCCCGTTTTCTAGGGTTTGCCATTCTCTCCAATCTCTCCGATCTCATCCTCGAGCTACTAATCTCGTCGTCATGCTACTCTCGTTGCCATTCCAGTCTTGTTCGTCATCGTCAAGCTACTAATCTCGCCGTCAAGGTACAAAATTTCCGATTCCAGTTCCTTTCATTTCTGATCTCTACAATTTCTTCCCCCTTTCTATCTTTAAAAATCTCTTCTTCATTTTCCTTAGGTGCTGCGGATAACGTCGTCAAGCTACTAATCTCGTCGATCCCTGAGGTAAGATTCATTAACGTAAAAGCTATTTCTTCTCAAAAAATTGGATTTATTTATTTTCTATTGGGTAATGACAGAATGTTGGTTGTGATTAGCTACTAGGTTAGGCAAGTGGGTTAATTAAATTGAGGGGATTTACTTATATCTTGATTTAAGTAACTGTTGAATCATTGTTTTATTGATCTTTAAATTTTTTGATTTTCTGCGGGATATTGAGTGAGAGCTTATCATGCTCCCTCAATTATTTCTAGTTGATTGCTGCAAGCTTGTCAGCTACAAATGAACCAGAAAACACTCTAGAATTGTTTTCACACTGTCGATGATCCTCCAATATACTGAAAGTCTTAATAATGGTCTACCTAGAATTAGTCAACCTCGCAATATAATGAAGAGAAGATCGTTGAACTGCCAAAAGTTCAAAGCTAAGATCATGGTTTCCATGCTTAAATAATGCCAAACTCATCAGTTATCTACAAAGATATAAATCATTGCAAAAACTAGAAATAGTTAGCAACGATCCAAAAGATTGATGGGTGGTAATGGGAGTTCACTGGCTAGGTCTCTGCAGAATAATTTAACAATTGGCATAGCAGCAATGCATGAAGCTTGGTCAATAGTAAACAAGGCAAAACTAGAAAACATCTACACACCAAAACTTGTGGATCCATGTCATCTTAAGGTGAGAATACAGAAAACACTACCACACCAAAGCATGTAAAATTGTCTTTCATACTTTCTAGTGATTGCCAAATAGAAAGTGTCCAAACTATTTACAGTTTGTTGTACATATATTGCACCCAGATTCTGATTTTTCTCTGTAGCGTGGGGCTTAGGTAGTAAAAGTGTCAGTATGTTTAATTTGGCTAATGAACAACAAACTGATAGAATGAAGATTGGGTTGCAATTTTGCTCAAGAAAGTCATTGACTATTTACTATTTGTACTCCTCTTTAAACTTGGTATTAATATCATTTCTGATGCTTGCACTCTTAAAATGTTCTTCTAGCGATAAATGAATGCTAAGGCTATTACTAAGATTTCTCTGTGGGTTGCAGTTTTTAGGAGATGGATTTAAGGTTTTCTAGTGAAACAGGTATGAAGTGTATTCAGATGAAAGATATAGATAGGCTGATGAACATATATACATTTACAATTGATTTTGGATGTATGTTTTGATCATTGTACGGGGTTTCGTAGCAGAGGAAGCCGGCTTACTGAATATTAACTAATATATTCATATTTGGTGTCTAGCAAAACCAATGTACTATGTTATATAATTTTTCCATAGATGTGTAACCAAAATTTTGGTCAGACCCTGCAGAGCTTATTTTTCTTTTTTGTGTGATTTATACCTCGTGTGTGTTTGAACACACAGTTTATATTAATTATCCAAATGATAAGCTGTTCCGTAGTCTTTGTTGCCTTGACACAAGTCAAACCTCCGTGTAGATATTGGACATAGAATTCTACTGCTTTAATTCAACATTAACACACTGTTAACCTATAGTGACATAGATGAATTTATGATCTTGTTTTCTACTGCTTTAATTCAACATTAACACACTGTTAACCTATAGTGACATAGATGAATTTATGATCTTGTTAACCTATAGTGACTTCAGTTTATACACATAGATGAATTTATGATCTTGTTAACCTATAGTGACTTCAGTTTATACATGTTTTACTTTGACAAATTCTGAAGTGCAGATATTTGTGCTGAACATGTGTTTGCAAGCCCCTGTCCAAATGTCTGAAGAACAAAAGTCCGTTATATATAAACGGTTTCACTAACGATTATTGACGATAAGATATGCAAATTTAACCTTTTTGATGAGAGATCCTTTTGACAAATGGGTTATAAATGAGCGAAGTTTTTGTAATTTATCTTACGTTTTTTCCTGGATATTAGCTTGATTTAGATCCTCTTTTGTTGCAGATAAATGTAAGATTGGTTCGACGCCTCAGAACGACTGGTACTTCTTCAGTCACAAGGACAAGAAGTACCTGATAGGCACGCGAACCAACTGTGCGACGGCTACAGGGTTCTGGAAAGAAACCAACCGTGGTTCTCTAGCTGGTATCATAATTCAATGTATCCTATTTGGGAGAATTGATCCGATTGTACCTTGGTTACTTTTCTCTAGCTGGTATCATAATTCAATGTATCCTATTTGGGAGAATTGATCCGATTGTACCTTGGTTACTTTAGATAGAATATTTTGATTGCTGGCAAAAGTGGAATCTTTTGATTGCTGTCAGAAGTGCTGGTCAATACCTAAGGCTTAAAGGGAAAAACTGAAATACATGTCAATTATCCTCTCATTTCTCATTTTCGCTAGGATAGACCATAGAACTAATACAAGACCTCTTTCCTGACATGCCCAAGTACATGATGTGATATCCACGAGAATTGATGTCTGTATAAGATTCTATATGAAGTTGGGAGAGGGACAAAGTAAGAGCTGGATCGTGTTTTGTATTGAGTGAGAAAGCAAGATGCTAGGAAAAAAATGTCCCTCTGATCTCCTGCTTTTGATAGGGCTATGCGAATGACTCACCATGCTAATCTTTATTGCTAAAGTGCATTTGAATTGCTATTTTCAGGGGAGGCTCATTCATTGAAAGTGGAAGAGATTCTATTTCAAGGGAAGTCAGACTACCAGGAGATACTGGTTTTTGAGGTTTCTTTCCATCTAGTTTGTACATATTTGAATGTTACTATTTTTGCTGTGATAACAATTCGTAATTAACAGTTTTGTTTGCTTCTGCTATACTCTGTAACTCGCCTAACTTATTACTTGCTATTGCAGTCATCAACTTACGGACGCAAGAGGGTTGGCACGCGCAAGACCCTTGTGTTCTATAAAGGAAGGGCTCCTCACGGTCAGAAGTCTGATTGGATTATGCATGAGTATAGGCTGGATGAGTCCAACTCTCCGTCCTATGTACAAGTAAATCCCAAATCTATACATATGTTACCTTTTCAACTTTTACATTTTCATTCCTAGCTAGCATAAAATTATAACCCGCAACTTCCATCACCATCTTAAATTTTTTGTATAGTACGAGAGCAAACTAGGTTCAGATTCTATTTCTCACGTATGCAGAATAGCCACGGTAGTCGTTATCCAAGCCAAGAATTGGATCCATGAAAAGTATGCTCAGCATGTACGGACATATCACATACCTCAACCTTACCTTCAAGTTATTAATAAAGGAGTTTAAAAGCGTACTGACGATGTTCGGTTAAGACTAGTTACAGTTGAAAGTATATTGATAACGTCATGTACGTAGTTAATTTTTTTCTTCAAAGCACTATTCAATTTGAATACGTACACAGCGGTAAGTTTATGTTTTTTTCCAATATGTTATTCTATTTTCCATAATCTTTGAAAATACAACTATATCTTGACTCAGTGACTGTACCATTAATATTTGAATGCATCTGGAACAAGATGGAAACTCAACTACTCCCAATTAACCAAAAACACTCGATCTCCTTCAGGTTGCCAACACGATGGGAGAAGCAAATAATCAAGAAGACGGATGGGTGGTTTGCCGAGTCTTCAAGAAGAAGAATCTCCTGCACAAGTCCTCCGACAGCCCAAACAACAGCACCCCATCCATCACCGTCGACGCCAAAACTCACTTCCTCCTCCATTCCCAGAGCGACGGCGCCCTGGATCAAATCCTACAGTACATGGGGAGATCTTTCCAATTAAATCTCAAGGACTGCCTTTTAGTTCTACCATTTTGAGTGTTCATAATGTCTATCTCCATTTCAGGCACTGCAGAGGACTCTTGAATTTGAGGAAGAATTGGCAGAGAAATTTGGACCATGGAACTTCGCTTCTATATACACATATGCTACTTCTCTATCTGCGAGTCCTATATTGTTGATGGTTTTCTAGTTATAGTTTATACTATAAATAGTAGCATGTATACCACTGTTTGTTGGAAATTTGCAGTAAAAAGACAATGAAAGAAAAATTTGACTTGTATTCCTCTCAAAATCAATTACAATTTGGATTCTGATTACAAAAGAGAGGAGAATGAATTTGATTCTCCCCTTTGTTTAATTCTGGGTTCTTCACGGTGGCGATGAGATGCCTCCCTCGAATGCTCGCGTCGAGTTTGCTTCTCGTTGACGATCCGAACGTCTTGATTCACTGGAACGTGATCTTCTCCTCACGATTTGACGCTGTGGAGAACTTGCAAAGCAAGTTTGAAACTCTGGACGAGTTGATAACTCTGATCGAGTTTGAAACTCTTGAAAAAGAGTCTTAAAAATAACTCTTAACGAGTTGATAACTCAGAGTGAGTTTATCTCTATGAAAGAGTTGATTTAAACCGAAAGTTCGGTTAATAAGCCAAGGAAAAGGTTCCTGAAACGCTGAAAACAGCGTTCTGGGCCTTAACTCTGCGTCTTATTGATGAGACGCAGAGTTGGGCGCTTGTTGGGAGTTAAAAACGCAAGGGCCGCTTGCGTTCGGACCTTAACTCTGCGTCTTAAAGATGAGACGCAGAGTTGGGCGTTCCCTAGGAGTCGAAACGCACAGGCCGCATGCGTTTTAGAGATGAACTCTGCGTTTTAGGCTGAAAACGCAGAGTTGGGCATGTTTAAAGGCTGAAAACGCACAGCTAGTGCTGTTTTAGAGATTAACTCTGCGTTTTGATGTTGAAAACGCAGAGTTGAGCCTGTTTTAGGCTGAAAACGCACAGCTAGTGCTGTTTTAGAGATTAACTCTGCGTTTTGATGTTTGAGAACGCAGAGTTGAGCCTGTTTTAGGCTAAAAACGCACAGCTAGTGCTGTTTTAGAGATTAACTCTGCGTTTTGATTTTGTAACGTTGGTTCGACCTGTGCACTTTGACTCTGTAATGCAGAGGCGAACCTTAGGCGGGCTTGGCGAGCTTCAGGCTAAGTCCAATGTTCTGACGAAGTCCAGTCTTGCAGGCGGATTTCAGAACATAACTTGCTACGAAGAACAGGTCATAACTTTCAAACCGTACGTCGGAATTGGACGAATTATATATGAAAAGCGGCTATCTCGACGAGATGGGGCCATCCGAACCAAGCCGAAGGCTTCGCTTCCTCCGTTTCGCCAAATTCCTTACGGTTTGAGAGATATCTGCATTCTAATATGAAGAGACCGTCAATTTGTAGTCTCTTTTGCTAGAGCTTTGCACAGATCGTCCTTTTGTAACCTTCGTCTTGGCTCTTTGAAAATATGAGAATCATCAGATTATAACTCCCGATGTTGATTGTGAAGGCTGTTGAATTGGGGCCTTCATTAGTTGTTGTGAATGTCGTCAGATTGTAACCTTCTACGTGAAAGTCCTCAAATTATAGCCTTCTGGAAGTCGTCAGCTTGTAACTTCCATCATTGGTGTTTGATGGGGGATCAACTATCTATTGTGATTTTTAGACAGCCTACAGAACCCCCTCCAAAGTTTTCGAAAGTTCGCGGTTGACTGGGACGAATTTTCGGAATACTTTGGATCTCAACTCTGATCTTGGAGGTGTTGATTTTTTGTCACAAAGGAGCTGTTCTCTGCACTCGCTTCGAAGGCAGCTTGGTTGAAGGGATTTTCCACGCAGGACCTGTGTGAAGGTATGCGCCATAATCCTGCTTCTGGAATATGGGGGTGGACCCTGCATTTTGAACTTGAGATGCGGGTTTCACCCTTGTATGTTGAATTTGGAACATGTGTATGACCTCGGCGTTCGGTTTTTGCATCGCGGGTCTGATCTTAACGTTTTGACTTAAGACATGGAAGTGGCTTCCGTGCATTTTTGACTAAGTCTTTGAGACTTGTCTTTGGCGCATCTGTTTTAAGTCTCGACTCACATCCATTAAGCTGATGGGCCTGCAAACATGCGTAGGATTTTTGGCAAACCCTCAGCCATCAACGGATTTGATAAGCCTTTACCGACTACCGTTTGCGTCGGGCTAGCATGTGGATTGTCTAAGTCCGTTCCATATGTAACGTTGTGCTAAGAGAATGAATCCTCTTAGACTTGATGCTATGATTTTGAATACATAGACTTTGTCATTTTGACTTTGAATACATAGACTTGATGCTATGGATTTTTAGTGTCGTTTCTTCCTGTGTGGCTTGAAACACCAAAAGAAAGTTGGAAGTACCAGAGGTATAGTGTTAACTTGGCACGAATTTTCACCTAAAGTGAAATTCAAAAATTTTCTTTATTATCACTAGGATAATTCCAGAAAATCTTTAATCCACTGGGGATTATAATGACAACTTGCTATTCTTGTTGAAAAAGGATTAACAAGTTTATTGGGGGTTTGACTGTTAGAGGTGTGATGTTAACCTAACAGTATTTTATAGACCTATCGCTCTTATTGAAGAGAGTCGATAAGTTGATTTGATCGTCAGAGGTGTGATGTTAACTTGACGGGTTTGTGGACCTATCGCTCCATTGAAGAGAGTCGATAAGTGGATTTTGTCAGAGGTGTATTGTTAACGTGACAAGATTTGTGTTGCGATTGGAGCAACTTTGGGGACTTATCATCCTATTGACGAGGATTGTTTTGTCAGAGGTGTAGTGTTAACGTGACAAGATTTGTGTTGCGATTGGAGCAACTTTGGGGACTTATCATCCTATTGATGAGGATTGATAAGTGGGTTGTCAGAGGTGTATTGTTAACGTGACAAGAATTTGTGTTGCGATTTGAGCAACTTTGGGGACTTATCATCCTATTAACGAGGATTGATAAGTGGGTTTTGTCAGAGGTGTATTGTTAACGTGACAAAAATTTGTGTTGCGATTGGAGCAACTTTGGGGACTTATCATCCTATTGACGAGGATTGATAAGTGGGTTGTCAGAGGTGTATTGTTAACGTGACAAGAATTTGTGTTGCGATTGGAGCAACTTTGGAGACTTATCATCCTATTGACGAGGATTGATAAGTGGGTTTTGTCAGAGGTGTATTGTTAACGTGACAAGAATTTGTGTTGCGATTGGAGCAACTTTGGGGACTTATCATCCTATTGACGAGGATTGATAAGTGGGTTTTGTCAGAGGTGTATTGTTAACGTGACAAGAAAATTATTGCTATGGAAGCAATTTTGAGGACTTATCGCTCTATTGGAGAGAGTCGATAAGTTGATTTTGTCAGAGGTGTAGTGTTAACGTGACAAGAAAGATATTGCTATGGAAGCAATTTTGAGAACGTATCGCTCTATTGGAGAGAGTCGATAAGGGGATTTTTGTCAGAGGTGTAGCTTCAGTGGTCGTAGTATCTTCCCCTTCTGACTGAGGAGATTGGGCTTGGTCCGATTGCTCTGGAAAAGGTTGGCCTTGGTCCGATTGCTCAGGTTGATCCTGCCTACTTTGTTCTTCAGCTTTGATCCTGGCAATGATTTTTTGAGCCTGCTCGCCTTGAGAGATTAGTTGTCTCCAAGAACGGCATTCTGCAACTCCTATTCGGGCTAGGAGGTCGGTTTGCAAGTTGTGTCGACAGGTCTCTACTAAGGTAGATTGTGTCATACCTGACGAACACCGGAGAGCCATGGATCGGAACCTTTTGACATAGGCTTTGACGGACTCCCTCTTCTTCTGCTTAGTAGCAAGAAGGGTATGGATGGAGACTTCTGTATCCTCTTCAAAGAATCTTGACAGGAAGAGTCTCTCTAGATCTGCCCACTTTTGGATACAGCCCGCGGGCAGTTTTCTGAACCATTCAAAGGCAATTCCCTTGAGGGTGCCAATGAACAATCGAACCAGTATGGCATCGTTTGATATTACATTTCCAGTCTGTGACTTGAAATGATAAATATGTTGGTTCGGTGATCCCGTACCGTCAAAAGTTTGTAGCGTCGGGACCTCGAACTTTGGAGGATAAGGGGCTGCATCTCATTCGGCAGGATAGGGTCTGATAACTCCCTCATCTTGGAGCCCGCTTCTGTTAGTGATGGCTTTGAGGCGGGGTTTCAGTTCTTCCATTTTGGCAGACTGAAGATTCTGCTCATTCTCAGTCTCTCTTCCTTCATCAGAGGAAGATTCCAGGCTGTGGGCTTCTTGGTCAGAAGCCGCATCATCAACCACTTTTCCCTTCCCTTTGCTTGTGTGAGGTCGGGATGAAGATGCTTTTCCTCTCCGGGAAGATTCTTGCCTAAGCGGTGAATCTGTCTCCTGAGATTTGGCCTTGTCTGCGACGATTTGAGTCAACATGGCCATGAGTTCATTGATGGCCTCCTGCTGAGATTTGAGCATGGCTTCCTGTTCATCAAGTCTCTTTGAAAGGTCTTCAGAATGTTCTGCCATGTGGGCGAAGCTCTCATGCCCAACGAAAGAGCTTGATGATTGGGACTCCGTAATGGCTGAGTGTTCGTCATCGGAATTAGTTCCTCTGGCTAAACTCTGATAGTTGACAGGGGGAATGGCTCCTGTTCGCGTCCGAGTGTGTTGGTAGACTCCTTCAAACTCGTTAGTGATTTCTCTGACGCTTGGAGAACGATCTGTCTCTGACTCGTCAGAACTAAGGGTTGATGATCTCCCTCTACCAACCATGTTAGAAGTGACTCCTAAAATCTTCTTCCCGTGAGGATGTCGTCGATTATTGAGCGAAATGACATTCGTCGGTTGGTTGAACATTGACAGCAATTCCCGCAAGTCAGAGACTTGGGATGAACCTCTCACGGAGCGTGAGGGTAAAGATGGAACCCCCTGTCCGTTAAAGGATGGGACTGGTTCTTGGTAAACATGAATTTTAAATCCATGTTGATCATTTTGAACATGACGAATCACATCGTGTTCCAAAGAAGGAACACGAGGGTCGTGTTTAGCTTGATTAACGCAAGACCAAAGTCTGCGTTTTGCTAGTGAAACGCAGTCCTGCGATCTGCGTTCGGATTCAGAAACGCACTCCTGAGAGTTGCGTTTAGTTTGTGGGACGCACTCTTGAGAGTTGCGTTCAGGATCTGGGACGCACTCTTGAGAGTTGCGTTCAGCCAGATCAACGCA